TAAAAACTAAACCGAAACCCAGGGAGAGCTTTCTTGGAATTCTGCTGCCACTCTTGTAACATGCCTATTCCGATCGTGAGCTGAGACCTTAAAACCTGGCTTTGGAGGACTCTGAGCAACTGCCGGATCTGCGCTGGGGTGGCGCCCCCAGGATTGGCTGGCTAGCCTTCCAACTGCAGCTCAACACTAGCCCTGAATCCTTGCCGTTGTAATCGTATAACAACTGATGTTGGCTATTGACATAATGGCTAAACATTGTAATCGTTGTTTTCGCTGGCTGCGTACTTCATCATTGAACAGTGTTCCTATTTTTTACTGACAGGGCTGCTAGGAGTAGCTGTGGACATTGTCGTCTTAAGCATCGTAGTACTAGTAGTAGCCGTCGTCGTCGCACCAGTAGAAGTAGCAGTAGTAGTAGTACTACTACTACTAGTACTACTAGTACTACTAGTACTACTAGTACGACTAGTACGACTAGTACTACTAGTACTACTAGTACTACTAGTACTACTAGTACTACTAGTACTACTAGTACTACTAGTACTACTAGTACTACTAGTACTACTAGTACTACTCGTACTAGTACTACTACTAGTACTACTACTACTACTACTACTACTACTACTACTACTACTACTACTACTACTACTACTACTACTACTACTACTACTACTACTACTACTACTACTAGTACTACTAGTACTACTACTACTACTACTACTACTACTACTACTACTACTACTACTACTACTACTACTACTACTAGTAGTAGTAGTAGTAGTAGTAGTGGCAGGTAGGAGTAGGGGTAGGAGTAGGGGTAGGAGGAGCAGCAGGAGTACCGGCAGGAGCAGGAGTGGCATCGGAGTACGCGCAGAATGAGGAGGAGTAGATCCATGGATGGATAGATAGCTGGGAGGCAGATTTTTTAAAACAAGAGGTTCAGATCGGAAAATGATAGATAGATGTATGGTTTCATGACCATGACGATTTGAAACTTTTTTTTTTTTTTTTTTTTTGGGGGGGGGGGGGGGGTTCTGGTGCTGTCCTGTGGCTGAACCGAGCGAAAGGGCTTGTGAGAACCCTTCAAAAACACCCTAAACCCTGAATTGAAAGAAACTTAGTCAGACCTTTATACCCTATTGATACAGCAATCCTTCACTCGACGAAGCTTTCACCTGAAGCCCTAAGCCTTAGCTAAGCCTTAGGCAGACTGCTTCTGAAGCCCACATTCGCCTCCAAGTCTTTCTTGGTGCTCAAGCAAGGCCCCCAATATCCCACGCCCGGTTCAAGGTTTGGGCTCTAGGGCTTAGTGCCTATAGGGCTTAAAGAGGTCGACGAGTCAGAACGACCGGATTGCCATGCAGACCCAGTATGTACGATCTTTTTCCTCACCCCCGATGCCTGAGACTCAGCGTATAAGCCTTGCTTGAGTTTAGGTTGGACGAAATGGTGTGGAACCCTTACGAAGCATCCGGAGGGAACCGATTCCCGAGCCCTGGAGTGTGAACTTTAAAGCCCTCCGCCCTCAGTCCTCAAACCCCACAGCCTTAAACCTGAATGAAGACCCCTCGTGAATCAACCGCCGTTCTTTAAAGGCCTTAACAACTGGGATCACCATCAGAATCCTTATTAAGTTAAATAATCATTATTGGAAAATCGGTGGGCGACATTAAACCCTAAACCCCCAAACCCGAAACCCCAAACCCCCAAAGCCCTAAGCCCTAAACCCCTAAACCAGAAACCCCAAGCCCCAAGACCTTGCATCCTGAGCCCGAAGCTCCTGCAACCTTCAGGTCATGTCCGGCTGCATCGCTGGCCTTTTGAAAATTGAAGGCACCCTAGGACGCCCCAACAGCATGGTACTGCTTTAGGGGGTTAGGGTTTCGGGTTTGCAGGTTTAGGGTTTAAGCGATGGGGGCTTGAATCTGGGCTGGAGGTTTGGTTTGCATGTTCGAGGATTTCGCGGGTCGGTTGAGATACGAGGTTCAGGGTCCATTCGAGGTGTCCAATTTTTTTCTACTCTGAAGACTGCACCCCTAAAGCCGGCTAGTCCGCAGGTTCGATCTCCGAGCCTTACCGGCCCAATTTAAAAGGTATGGCATTGAGTTGAACCCAACTAAGGCTTTATAGGTGTACTTCCGGTTGATGATATAAATCCTGCACGACCCATAATAATAAGGAATGTACCATAATTCCCATAGTTTAGGGTGCCTAAAGTAATGCAGGATTTATGTCATCAACCGTTCTCACCTGCTTACTTGAGTTCCCCACTCCTGTGAGTGCGGACCCTGTAGTCATTGTGCTTTCCAGCGTCCCGGGCCAAAGACACCATCATCCATTTGGCTCCATGTCGGCCTGCGTCACCCCAATGTTCCAAGTACGCGAGCATCTGCAAAAATGCTTTAAACCCTTAAACCTAAACCCCAAACCCTTAAGCCCTAAACCCCTAAACCCCTAAACCCCTAAACCCTAAACCCCTGTAAACCTAAACCATAACCCCTGAACCCTTATGGTGTCAGGAACCCCAGATCCCCAAGCCGAACCTCTTGAGCCCCAATGCAGAGAAAGCCCACGACTCCCTATAGGGTTTAGGGTTTAGTTTTTAGGGTTTAGGGTTTAGGGTTTAGGGTATAGGCCTCCCCACCCTAAACCCCAGGCAAACCCTCAACTGTGCCACCCACTCAACTCGGGGAGAAGCTATGGGAATAAGGATTCCAATGTAGGGTAGCTGTTTTGAATTTGGGCTCGAGGAATATGACTTCAGAGCCTATAGCATGAAGGATTACCGGACGTGGTGATTCAGCGTCTTGGTCGGGAATGCTTCGCGTCTGGCGACCTTCCGGACAAGAGCTGGCCGCAATAAATGCTGCAGAGTTGACGGATGGAAGTGCCGTGAAGAGGCGTTTGCGTGACCTTCATGGCTTCCCGGTTTATCTACAACAACTTGCGCATGGAGGCAGGACCTTGACTGATGACACTAAGCTGGATGGACCCATGGATTTGCAATTGGTGCTATGGACTGTCTCCTGCTTGCCGCAACATCTCCAAATTCAAGCTGCAAAAGATGTAGCAGCTGCTGCTCGCAAGAATCATGCTCACACTGTCCGATGCTTGCTGGAAGCTGGTGCTGATAAAGATTGCTGTGGCCGTTCCCGGTGTGTGAAGGCCCTAATGCTTGCATCTGACAGTGGTTACTTGGAGGTTGCACGTTTGCTGGTGGGAGCCGGTGCTGACATGGAGTGTACAAACCGCTCCGGCATGACGGCCTTAATGCTGGCATCTAAGAGTGGTCACTGGGAGGTTGCACGTCTGCTGGTGGAAGCTGGTGCCAACAAGGATTGCAAAGACCGGTCCGACATGACGGCCTTAATGCTCGCATCTAAGAGTGGTCACTTGGCGGTTGCACGTGTGCTGGTGCAGGCTGGTGCTGACAAGCATTGCAAAGACGGGTTTGACATGACAGCCCTCATGCTGGCATCTGAGAGTGGTCACTCGGAAGTAGCACGTTTGCTTGTGGGGGTTGGTGCTGACATGGAGTGTGAAGACCGCTCCGGCGTGACGGCCTTAATGCTTGCGTGTGAGAATCGTCACTTGGAGGTTGCACGTGTGCTGGTGGAGGCTGGTGCCAACAAAGAATTCAAGGACCGGTGCGGCATGACGGCCTTAATGCTGGCATCTAAGAGTGGTCACTTGGATGTTGCACGTTTGCTGGTGGAAGCTGGTGCTGACAAGGATTGCAAAGACGGACTGGACATGACGGCCTTAATTCTCGCATCTGGGAGTGGTCACTTGGAAGTTGCACGTGTGCTGGTGGAAGCTGGTGCTGATAAAGATTGCTGTGCCGGCTATTTCCCCCGCAGGACAGCCCTCATGCTCGCATCTGGGAAGGGTGACTTGGAGGTTGCTAGTTTGCTGGTGGAGGCTGGTGCTGAGAAAGATTGCCGGGACGATCGCGGCAGGACGGCCCTCATGCTTGCATCTGCGAGTGGCCGCTTGGAGGTAGCACGTATGCTGGTGGAAGCTGGTGCCGATACAGATTGCGGTGCAGACATCTAGGAAGAGAGAGATTTTCCTCAACGCAGCCCTGATGCTTGCTTCGAAGAGCGGTTGGTTTGCTTGAACTGTTCGGGTTTTGTTTTGCTGCCGGAAACTGGTTCTGCCTGAGAACGGATTGTACAGAGTGCGCTTGTCGAGCAGCTCTCAGGGAGGTTCCTAAAGCTGGAACCTGGGGTTGACCCACTGACAGGTTGCGCTTGCTGCTGGAAGCTGGTGCTTAAAGAGTTTGTTGGGGCAATGACGCCATGATATGCATCTGAGAGTGGCTGCCTAGATGTTGCACCTTCGCTGGTGGAATCGGCTGCTGGCTGATAAAGGTTTGCCGTTTCTGTTACCGCTTGAAAGCCCTAATGCTTGTGTTAGAAACTGACACTACGATGCACGATTGCTCCTTCTGTGCGCATAGCAGGCACAGCATCACACACCAGCTTTGGGCCTCCAGGATTCGCTCTGCCGGCAAACCTAGACCCTTCAACACGACCTACTGTATCGCGCAGCAAAACTAATTAATTAAACGCTTAAGTTCAGCCCCCGACATCCCAAGCCGACATGCTCTCCCGACTTGTCGCATGTGTTTGGCTTAAGTAAACTAGAGCATGTGCAGGGCTGCGGGCCTTTGCGGATTGTTGGTCTAGGTTTCCCAAAGCTGGCGCAAACTGTGTCCTGGTTCTGCCGACGTGGCTCCCTTGCCAGTCTGCCCCCCCGTCGGCATCTGCATCCTAAAGTGCAAGCCCGGAAACAGGTCGCCCCAAAACACTAAACTGCGATGCATCATGCCGAAGCGCAAAAAGAAGGCTACATCTTCAATGCCAGACCCTGAACATACCAATGGTTGTAATCGTTGGAAGAATCGTTACAGTAATGGTGGCAACAGCTTTGGCTAGAATAATCCAGAATCATTAGAACAACCAGTACAAGCAAAGGTAGCAACAATTTGGGCTAGAATGAAGAATCATGGAGCCCTAATGTACCGCCGGGCAAAGTCATGGCTTCTGGCTGCCTTTGGTCTTTGCTGGCTGCAGGCTTCCGGGACCTGAAAAGGGGGGAGTCGCAAGGGTTTATCAAGGGTTTCGTAGTGTTCTTGAGGGATGTAAAGTCAATTTTGGGAGGATTCGTGTTATACAGGTTCGTTTTAATTAAGGTGTAGGCTTGTTGAAAGACGGGGGTTAGGGTTTAGGTTTTCATTGTTTGGGGAGTTGTCGCGCTGTAGCGGTTCAGATTCCTTCGGAAAGGTTTCAACTCAAGGCTTTTTGCTAGACCCTCAGCGTGTTTTTATTGTACTCCTAAGCCGCTTAAATCCCTCAACATCGAGTTTAGGGTCGGAGTTCTGGGGCTTATATGATTTCTGATTCAGCACTTGTAAGGCTTATGGAGTTATAGGGTTCAGGGTAGGGCCTATCGAGCTTAATAATACAGGGTATAGGGTATCTGACAAGGTGCTCCCGGCTACCTTCGCGCACTCCAAGTGGCACTGGGGCAAGAGGTCCAACAATGTGGAGGTGGGGGAATCAGAGGGCTCTGTAGGACTTACATAAGGGGTTTCTATGTAGTGTTCTAGTCTAGTACGGTCTTGCGCTTTCAATACTTAGGTGTCAGGGGACTTGGTAAGTAGAGTCGGAAGTAAAGTTAGACGTCGGATCCGCGAGTAATAGAACTTTCGTTAAGAAGTTGAGCGTGATGTTCGAGTGCGGTATATACTGCTGGTTATTGTACGTAGTCCTGTCTAGATGTCGCAATGCTACGGGCCCTGTCGAAAGTTTTGTAAGAGAAAATCATGGCGGGTTGACGGCTCAGGGCCTTCATCGTTTAGGGCTTCGCGTTTTGATTGTGAGGTATTCTGGGATCTGGACAACCTCTTTCCGTACAAGGACATCTCTCTGGGGGCCTGTAGCGCAGCTGTCTGCAAAAGACTGAGCCAAGACGGCAGCGTGAAGCCGACTGTGCGACTCTATGCCAACCTGCACACTTTCAGAATCTTGGTTCTGAAGAAACTGCTCGTGTCCTTTCTTTGTTCGTTATCGGAGGCTTCATGGTGTTTGTAGGTCTTCGGGCTCTGAACCACTGAGTTATAGGTGTAGCTCATATTTGTTGCATGACCCACTTCGACTTACGAGTTTAAGCGCCCTTAATTCGGAGCAAAATCCTCTAACCTGAACCCTAAAACTCCATGCCCTCAACCAAGCAGTATACAGTATATTATCATAAAGCCTCAACCCCCAACTGTACACTCAATCTTTGTGCAACCCATATCTATGCCAGGACCCTGACCATACGACGCCTATGTCCCCGAATAAATCTTGAGCCAGAGTTTGACTGGAAGCTCCTGATCTCAGGAGACAATCTATATCTGCGAGGCGGCGAGGAACAGAGGAACCGACGTCTTCGGCTCCGGGTCAAGACTCCTTGCCTCGAATTGATGGTTTGGGGGTTCGTCGTTGAGAGAAACTAAGGATTTGCAGGTTCAAGGGCAATTGTCATAGTATAAACCCTGAATTCTAAAGTTGAGATTTGAAGTTCATGTTTGTGAGAGAAAGCTTGGATTCAATTTCTCAGGGATTAAGCCTGAGGGTTTTGGGTCGACAGGTGAGACAGCACGTGCCCAGTTCAACTTACACCAGGGCCCCCGTGTTGACTTTTCGGCCAAGGGCTTGCTTCGAGGCAGTAGGGTTTAGGGTTTGAGTGTCCGGGCCTCTAGGGTTGAAGCGATGCTTTTAGCAACGGCCCCAGGCCACATGCCCCAATTTGAAGCCCAAAGATCAACCCTGAAACCTAAACCTCCATCAATTAAACCCAATTTAACCTTACAGTGCAGTACAGTTAAGCTCTACACCTCAAACCAAAGCCCTCAACCTTTGAACCCTACAGCCAACAACCCTGAAGCTTCAAACTGAGGCCAAGCGACCCCGACAGCGAGATCCTAGGCTGCTCAGTGGTCTGTCTGTATGTGTTGTTGTTGTTGGTGGTGGTGGTGTTGGTGGTGGTGTTGTTGTTGTTGTTTTGAATATGTGGCTGTACTTCCTCGTGTCTGGTGCGTGATTACACCTAACATGACCATCACAAAGATGTTGCCCAGTTTAGTATGGTAACAACAACAGTAATAGCAATGATAACATTGATCACAAAAGAGGAGCAGTGACACCAAACAACTCTAGCAATAGTACTGGCAACATCAATCATAGTAACAATAATAGTGTACGACTCAATGATAGTCTTAATAATTGTAACCGTAACACTAATAACCTACTCGCGATAATCGCAGTAATGACCATATCTAAACCTCAAAACCCGAGTCCCAAAGCCCAAAAACTAAACCCTAAAGCCCAATCCCCACACCCTACACCCCAAACCCTAAACCCCAAACCCCAAAAAACTAAACCCTAAAACCCACACCCCAAACCCCACACCCTACACCCCAAACCCCACACCCTAAACCCCAAAGCCCAAAAACTAAACCCACCTCAAACCCCAAACCCGAAACCCTAAACCGAGGATCCTCGAGGTCTTCCGACGATCCTTGAAGTCCGCAGACGACGCGGCGTCCTTCTGCGCCCGGTTTCCGACGAAGCCGACGGGGCTTCTGTGCCTTTGCCTTTGTTTTAAAGGTTCCACTAAAGTGAGCCTTATTTAAAGGTTCCTTGAAAGGGATCCCTATAAAGGTTCCTTGAAAGGGATCCCGATTTAAGGGTTCCTTGAAAGGGAGCCGTACTTAAGGGTTTCTTCAAAGTGATCCCGATTTAAATGTTCTTTAGAGGGGTCCTTATTCAGGAAAGTGATCTATTGGGGGCACCTGGATCCTTAAGTAAAGAAAGGGATCAATTGGAGTCCTTTAGAGGGTTTAAAGTTCCTTGTAAGGGGTCCTTTAAAGGGATCTATTGGGGTCCTCTAAAGGGTTTAAAGTTCTTGTTGTGTGGCGTTAATTAAGTTTCGTGACAAGGGTTGTCTTGCTGACAATACTGAGAAAATATCGAGAATCATAGTCACAGGAATAATACATCACAATACTAACATTTTTTGTAGTAGCAGTTGCATGAATGAAAACCATAGTAACAAAGCTGCTTCAATAGTGGTGGTATAAAGATATCTACTGGGGTCCACACGCCTGTGAAGCCTACTTGGTACCCATAAAAAAGAGGAGTCAAAGGTCACAAACTTAAAGACTCACGGGACTCAGCTATAGGGATATAACAGAAATAATATACTGGTTGGATAAGTCCACCTAGAACATGTGTATATTAATATATGTATATATATATATATTAATATTAATATGTATATATATATATATATACACATATACGATCGCCTACTTACTAGGGCCCAATCAAGTTGTATTCAGATGCCCCAGACAGCCAAACGCCGAAATCCTTAAGCCCTTCACCCTCAACCCCACCACCCCAAAACCCTAAACCCTAACCCTTAGGCTCTAAGGACTCATATTTTAAGGCTTTTGGGCCCAAAGACCATACTATATGAGGCTTTTGGGCTATTTTGAGCCTTAGGGTAAGCCCTATGTACACCTCTAAACGCAGGTTACAGGACCTGAAGATGGAGGCTGGCCAGATGGGATACCTCTTGATGTATTACCGACGCTGGGCTTGAGCCTGCTGTACCTTAGTTCCTAGTGTGCGGTTCAGTTTCTTGTTGCTGATTTAGGCCTTGGGCTTAAACTTGTTTAGTTCAGGGTTTCGGGGAAATTTTAATTTTTGGTTGGAGCCCGAGTCGCAGGAGACGCCAAAGAGCTGCTCCTGCTAAATCTGCGCCGCTACTTCGGGGTCTACGGTGCCAACCTACAGCTGAAGATCCTTCCGTCTTCACCACAGGCCGGAGGACATGCACAAGGAAACCCTAGTCACCATGAGGAGCCCTATGAATCTGGGTTTCTTGAGGTTCAGGCAGGGATTAGCGTGAAGTAAAGGCTCTTCAGGGGTTTAAGGCTGAGCGCAGTCACCAGTTCCGGACTTTCGGGTTTCCGCTTTGGGGCCTAAGTCCCAAGCACTAGCCTCAGGCCTCCAAAACCCGGAACACCACATGTTACTAATCACTAAACATGGAAATTCTACTATACCACATGTTTCTCATGAACGGGAGAAGGTATGTAGTCTGATGTTTATCCGTTATCATAAGCTCTTAAAACCTCAAAACCTAACCACATTCAAACTGCTACACAAGCCCCTCGAAAACCCGTGGCCCGGTTCTGGGTTTGGAGCTGAAGGAGTCTTGTCTGCTTTGAGGTTGCTCGACTTTGGTTGGGGGAGCCCTTGATATTGAAGTCAGGAGGTGGGAGATTTCATCGCAGCTAGTTAGTATGGCTTGTGCAGGTTCCTGGTGTGTGTTTATATAACTTTGCAAGATATCCCCGAAGAGCCTATTCCAATGATTCAGGCCCCGGTATGAAAGCCTTCAACTGACGCTCCAAGCACCCCTCGCAGTTGTCCTGCTCACATCCAAGCTTTCACATGCTGCAAACCTTAAATCCAGCGTTGAGGGTTTAGGGCCCGAAACTCTAAACACAGATGAAAACAGGGCCTTATCAAGGGCACCAACTTAGATCATCATACCAAACCTTGGCAACCTTAGCATCGTAAATGCCTGATCACACCCAACCTCAGGCTGTCGACAAGGAGATGGTTTGTGATTTAGCATTTAGGGTTTAGGGCTTAAGGTTCAGAGTTTGAAGGTTCAGGGTTTAGGGCCTCAGGCTGTCGACAAGGAGATGGTTAGCGATATCAAGTTGCTTCTGCAAGACCCACAGCTGCGCCTCCACCCGGGAACGATCTGCAGCTGGGCAGTTGGAAACTGTACTTGAAGGTGGCTTTAGGATTCAGGGTTCAGCGTTTAGAGTTCAGAGTTGGGGAGAATCACGGAGACTTCTTTCATTAAAACCTGTGAGAGCATGATAAACAAGACCCTAACGACCCTTTGAGGATCTTACAGAAATGCGTAAATGCTAGACCCGAAACCACGATACCATGCATGCCTAAACCCACAGCATAAGCCCTCAGATACGTAACCTCATAAACTTTCCCGAAAAGGAACCCACAGGAACCCTGTAAAGCCTACAACATTAAGACAAACGGGCAATTCCGCACAACGAAAAGTAGAAGACTCTATGCAAAAACCAAACAAGGATAAACCCCAGCACAAGCCATATTGATCCCATTTTGTACGCAACTCTTATATAAACCCAAAGCCCTAAACCCTTGAACCTTAAACCCTAAACCCGCCAAAACCTGAAACCCAAAGCCCAAAGCCCTTAAACCTTAATTAAACCAAAAAACCAAACAAAAACCCTGAGCCCAAAGCCCTATAAACCCTAAACCCCTAAACACGCTTAAACCCCCCTAAAGCCCCACAGCCCAGGCCTGGTTTCAGACGACGGTGAGCAAATCTTCGCCTCCTCGCTTCGCGCTGCGGGGGAGCGAGGCTGGAGGACGGCGCTGGTGAGCAAGCGGCCTGCTGAATGTAGGGTTTAGGGTTAGTTTTATAGGGTCGTATAAGTTATATGGGTTAATTATCATGGGGTTATAGGGTTATAGGGTTATATGGCTTAGGTTTAGGGTGCAGGTTTTGGGCCTTTAGAGCTTCAGTGTTTAGGGTACTGGGCCTTGGGATTCAAGGGTTTAGGGTTGAGGGTCGTGGGTTTGAGGGTTTTAAGTCTTGGGGTTGGAGGTTTAGGTTAGGATTTATGTAGTGTTTCAGAACCTGAAGGGGCTATGGGGTTTCAGGGTTTAGGGTTCGGGGGGAGCATAGGGGTCGGAATGGTTATTAAGTATAACATCTTATTGCTGAGGTTTCTCCTGAAAAATATTCGATAATAATACCAGATCCTGTTCAAATCATCAAGGCACCTGAATCGAGCTGTAGGGATTCGAGTATAGGGTTGATTTAACCTGCTGGGTTTGGAGTTTGTTTTAGGGTTTAGGGCTTTCGGACCTCGATCGCTAGAACAGGGTTGCATAGTGTTACATCCCCATACATACTCGTATGGCTCTGTACCAACCTAAGATTCTGTTTGAGGAGGAGGGACCCTGGGTTATGGCTAGGGGTACAGCTAACTCTGCTCAGAACCTGCATTCGAATTCCGGCGAGCCTTTCAGCAACGGTTTCCTGAGCCCTATACCCTTACGGTGACGTTTTTGAACATATGGGGGCCCGGCCAGCCGCACTGGCCGCAGAGGTAGTATAAACATTTGTTTAAATCCGTATATGTAAATCCCAGTATGACGTGATCTAGCCTTCAGTCTTAAAAAGGTGAAGGCTGGAATGCTGGAGGGTTGAAGGCTGGAAGGGGTTGAAGGCTGGAAGGGGTTTAGGGCTGGAGGGGTTGAAGGCTGGAAGGCTTGAGGGGTTGAAGGCTGGAAGGCTGGAGACTGCAAAGGGCTGGAGGGGTTGAAGGCTGGAGGGCTGGAGTGCTGGCTGGAGGAAGGCTGGAAGGCGGGAAGGTTTGAAACCTTGCAACGCTTAAACCCTAAACCCCAAACCCACGAAAGCTGGAAGGTTGGACGGGCTGAAGGTTGGAGCGGCTGAAGGCTGGAATGCCTTGGAGCCTTCCACCCTCAACCTTCCAGCCTTCCTCCAGCCCCAGCCCTCGACGTCCAGCCTTCCAACCTTTCCTCCCAGCCCTCCAGCCCTTCCAACCTAACTTTCCAGCTTTCCTCCAGCCCCAGCCCAGCCTGCCTCCAGCCTCCAGCCTCCAGCTCCAGCCCCCAGCCTTCCAGCCTTCCTCCAACCTTCACCTTCCTCCAGCCTTCCAGCCATCCAGCCTTCTTCCAGGAAGGCTGGAAGGTTGGAAAGTTGTAGGGAGGGCTGGAAGGCTGGAAGTGAAGGCTGGAGGGCTGGGTCTGGAAAACTGGAAGCTGGAGGGCTGGGTTGGAAGAAGGCTTGAAAACTGGCTGGAAGGAGGGTTGGGGCTGGGGCTGGACGGCAAAGCTGGAGGGCTTGGGGCTGGAGGAAGGCTGGAAGGAGGAAGGCTGGAGGGTGGGCTCGGTTTGGCTTGAACCTAAAGTTGAAAGGTTTGGCTTCTACCTGAACCCTAAACCCTTAAACCCTAAACCCCAAAATCCTAAACCCCAAACCCACCAATGATCTGTCAATTTCCGGATATTTGATTTCGAGGCGGGCCCGGGCGATGTTTCACGGAGGTAGTGTAATATACTTGTTTAACCTATTTAAATATCCGTGTATTTAAACAGACTCCGTAGGCTCTAAGGACTCATATTTCAAGGCTTTTGGGCCCAAAGACCATACTATATAAGGCTTTTGGGCAAAAATTTGAGCCTTAGGGATAATGACAAGTGCTATACGGGTTCTTCTGTCCTTCATCCCTAAACTCTCAACCCTAGCCCCAACCTGAACCGAGGAATGGCAGCACGCGGCTAATGCAGGGCGCTGCACATCAAAGTCTAGGCACATTTAGGTTTTATAGGGTTTAGGTTAGGATGTGTTTGGGGCTTCACGGTTTAGCTTGGGGCTCATAATTATGCGCGGGCTAGTGCTAGTGAAAGCCTTAAGCTAGGAACCTGAAAGCACACACGGATGCCCCAACCCTAAAACCTAAACCCTACACCCTAAACTCTAAACCGTGACTAAGTGTTGATTCTATCGACCCCTTGCCTCGGCCCCCCCTGCCATCCCAAAGCCCCTAAGCCCTACACCCCAAAACCCTAAGCCTAAAGCCCATACCCTAAAACCCCAAGCCCTTATATATATATATATATATATCCTAAACCCATTACCTCCTAAACCCTAAAGCCTCAGACCCTCAACCAGTATTCTGTATACTTCCCTTTAAACCGACCTCTGGCTCTTTAAACCGACCTCTGGCTCGGGTAGATGTAGCATCCTGGCGGTTTAGGTTTGTTTTGCGCACTGGGGGTCTAGGGGTGTAGGGGATTAGGGTTTCTGGTGTAGGTTTGGGGGTTTTAGGGTTTAGGGTCTGGGTTTCGAGGTTTAGGTTAGGGGTCTATTACACTTGTCGAACAGTGGGACCCTCAACACAGAACCGGGTTTCTGGGTGTAGGGGTTGTGGGTTTGGGTGTAGATTTGGGGGGTAAGGGTTTGGGGTTTAGGCTTTGAGGTTTTGGGTTAAGGGTTTACGCTTGTCGAACAGTGGAGCCCCCAAGACAAAGCCTAGACATACTGCTTGAAACCTGCAGCACCCAAAACCTCAACCCCCTACCTTTCTATCTTAAACCTAAGCCCCGATCCGCTTCAAAGCCCTAACCTTAAACCTTTCGTCGCTGCCCTTAGAAAACCTTTATCAACTTGAAGATGCTGTATCCTAAACCCGTAAACACTATTGTCCCCAAATTTAGGGGCCTCAATAGTCACCAATACTATTGTGGCGTTCCTTATTCTAGTTATGGCATCATATACTTATACCCAAAGAGCCCTCTTCTGGATATTAAGGCCCCTATCCTAAACCCTAAAGGCCCTGAAGCAGGCTGGGCGAACTGCAATGCCCGTGCTCGGGCCGTGAGCCTGCGTAGTGACATTGAAGTTTTCCTGAGGCCGCGGGCCCAGAGGCGGCTCCGGCGCACTTTTTAGGGGTTTGAGGGTTTTCGGGTTTTGGTGTTGAGGGTTAAGGGGTTTAGGATTTAGGGGTTTGAGGGTTTTAGGATTTAGGGTTTAGGGCTTAGGGGTTTGAGGGTTTTAGGGTGTTGGTGGGGCGGTAGGGTTTCAGAGTTTTAGCGGTTAAGTGTTTGAGGGTTACAGTGTGAGGGTTTAGGGCTTTAGAGTTTAGTGTTTGGAACCGAATATAGTTTAATGTACTTACAATGCTGCTTGTTACTGGCTACATTAGCTACTTCGAAGTCAGGTGCCTTCTAAGGCACACACAGCTCTGCTTGTTACCTACCTTAAGTTACCTGTTACGAAGTTCACCCGGACTTCCAAATAACGGTTGGTTTGCAGGGCTTTGGGTTTTGGGGGGGTTCAGGGTTGACGGAACCTTCTGTGTGAAGAACCAGCTCCGTTTTGGCAGCTCTTACTTAGGACCCCAAGCTTCCGCCAATCAAGGTCCGTTGCCTTTATTGGGGGGGAGATCCCTACAACCCAAACCCTAAACCGGAAACCGTATATCATAGTTCTTCTCTTATAGAGGGGAGCTGACGATGTCCGCAGACCAGTTCAGGGTGTAAGAGTCTCGGGTGTTGGGTTGAGGTTAATAAGGGTTTAGATCCTTTTCCCGGCCTAAACGGCCGATTCCCTTGTCTTGACTTGCCGCCGGCATGCGCCAACATGCCAGAGAAGAGCGCTTTGCTTCTGCAGGTGTCTGGGTCGGGTTTGTTGGATATCTGAGCAAATGTATTGACAGAATAGATGCCCGTGTAGCCCCTATACAAGTGTAGCACATTGTGCAAAGCCATCAAGACCCCATTCTAGTTATTCAGGCCAGACATGTGTTGCTTGCGTTTTCGTTCTGGTTCTATCTATCGAACCATTGTAGAACGTTTCAAGTCCTATGGAACCTTCTCAGATTCTGGAAAATCCTTTGCTTGGCGGTGCAAGTTCCCTGTGGCCGTGCTTGGAGGGTCATGGGACTTGTTGACCTAACTGGATTTATGAGTGAATAAATCCAACTATTGCCTGTTGCTACTCGTTTTATATAACCCAAGTTACTAAGCCCCATGATCCTCCAAGTACCACCTCAGGAACCCGGGTTCTCTCTCCCAGTTTAAGTTTAGTGTAGGGTTTAGGATTTAGTAGGCTTTAGAGTTCAGGATTATTTAGAGTTTCGGGATTAAGCTTGATAGGGCTTTGGGTTTATAAGCTTCGGGTTAGGCTGTAGGTTGCACTATGAACTGTTTTTGTCATACTCCACTTTATAACACCCCTCAAGGGGCGATTGATGAAGGACACGTGTTGAATTCAACCGCCATATGGGAGTTTCCGAAAATAGGGACCCTAATGTAGTACCCTAAATAGTAGGATCCTTGATATAAGGACCCCAAAATAATGATGTACCCCTAATGTTCGGCTACTCCCACATGCCCTGAACCCTAAACCCTAAACCGAGCTGCACAGACTTGGGACCTGGAACAGTTTCAGGTTTAGGTCCTAATCCTATTATGCCGGATACCCTAAACCCCTAAACTCAAGCTTTTGTTAAAGCCCTAAGCGAAAACTATATCGGTTACTTCGGTTGTGGCACATCTAAGCTCTAAGAAGCTGATACAAGTTATATGTGCTTAACCGAAATGTGGCAGGCACGGATATGACAAGAAGCACAGGGCACCACGTCGTACTATTCTGCAGTGTTAGCAATCAGAATCAAGATTCTCAGCAGCGAAGCCTTGTCCCCAAACCCTGAAAGGTTGGCTGCCGTAGATAAACCCTGACCTCCAAGCACAACTCAAGCCCTGAACCGCAGTTTGCGAGGAGTGCTGGTGTTCATCGTCGTGACACTGATCCACTCGTTGATGATTTGCGTCAAGCTTGGCTTCGAGATCACCGGGCCGGGTTCTGCAGACGTGGATTCGAGCACTCTTCAGCATTTGTTTTCAGCAGTTTCAGGTTTTTAGAGCCTGTGCATACCTCGCAAAAACCGATGGTTTCCACGTTAGGAATCAGGGATTGCCAGATTCTTTAGTTTCTGTTAAGACTAGAGGACTTCCAGCACCAAAGACAGCTCTAAAGCCCAAGATCCGAAGATCTAGATCCCTGCGATGCACTGTTGGTGAAGCATAAAAGCTCTGTATATATGTGTTTGTATGTCTCTCTCTCTCTCTCTCTCTCTCTCTATGTATATATGTATATGTGTATATATATATGTATATATGTATATGTATGTTCTGTATATATATATATATATATACACATATAAATATCTATCTATCTGTCTGTATGTGTGTGTATATATATATATACACACACACGTATAACGATAGATAGTGCCCTATGCAACCGATCCCGCCCTGGAAACCACTGTTTTTGTTTGAAGGCTTCTTTGGATTTCTGGCATGCCTGGCCGGCACAGCAATAGTAGCAGAAACAGTGACAGCAGCAGCAATATTATCAAAAGCACAAATAACACGAATAGTACGAACAATGAAAAACACACCTTGACTGACAATGTATGAATCATCAGAGCAATTACAATACCAATGCATTCTGATCGTAAGCCCTAGACCCGTGCCTTCTATCCCTGGGAGGCACTTCCCCAAGAGCCGCGATGTCTTCGTGAGCCAGCCAAGCACCCAATGCCTGATGCATGTCTTGCGGGTGCAGGGCTTGGGGTTCCAAATTCGTGTAGAGTTTTGGGGTTCAGGACCACGCTTAGGATTTAGGGGGGCTTAGGGGCTTAGCCCCTGGATGACCGATCATATGATCGATGAAGGATGATTGCTGCGCACGCAAGTGATATCGATGACGTGGTGTGCGGAGCATAGGACTTAGGGCCTTTGAGGGTAGTCTGGTATTCAGGGCCCCTCTTTATGTAGACCCGAAATCACCTAAACCCTAAGCCTCCCCTCACTGTTCTTCGTCACTACATCTATCACCGCCCCAAGTTTGTTTCTAAGGCCCTGGAAGTAGAAGTTTGCAAAGTGCAGGACTTCAAGCACCCAGCCTCACAAGATCCTCCTATACCCTATAATTCCTTAATAGTTAGAATAGGGTTCCCTTTAAAGGGGTCTATAGGGGCTACTATAAGGGTTCTATAAGGGGTCCATAATAGGGTTCTACAGTGCAGAGCCTTGTGTATAAATCCCGCGAAGCATGTTGTAGGCACGGACCTCAATGTCGTCAGCGTTGCGGCTCAAGATAACGGACTGCATGCCAGGACTGGTCCCGGGACATGTTTCCGGCTAACCCCCCCTACATAAACCATGAAGCCTTAACCAAACGCCCATGATCCGCACTGCAACCATGTCCCAGCTCCCCGCCTAAATTTTCAAGAGTCGTATCCCCAGATCCTAAACCCCAAAGTACTAAACCCCCAAAGCCTTTTAAACCCGAAGCCCTAAACGATTTATCCGGAATCCTCTTCAAAGCGGATCTCTTCACTCACCATGGTCGCGTCTCCGCGAGTCGAGCCGCCGAAGGCCACCCACCCAGTCGCGCCGTTTTCCCAAAGAGCTCGACACATTGCCATACATAGCCTTGAAGGCAGCAATATGTCTTGAATGATAAATACAAGCCCTATAAAATCTAGAAGTCTGGAGCCTAAAGTTATTCGAGGAATTGGGTTCTCTGGGCTTAGGGTCTAGTTATGCTTTGGTGGTGTGCAAGGGTGCGTGAGTTTGGGGAGGGGAATACGGACAAGTGAGTTGTGCTGTCACGGCAGTTGTTGCGGTTTGGGCAGTTGTTGCTGTAGTTGTATCGGTTAGTTGTGGGCTGTTTTGTTGCTGTGGATGACGGTGATGATGATAACGATGATGAAGAAGAAGAAGATGAAGAAGATGATGATCATGACTTGATGAGTCTTTTGTGTTGTGTGTGTGTGTGCGCGCATGTGCGCATTTCGTAGCACGCGCAGGTGTGTAGTACGTGTGTACGTGTGTGTGTATATATATATATATATATGTTTGTGTGTGTGTGTATATGTTTGTGTGTGTGTGTGTGTATTGCTTGCGTGCTTGCTTGCCTGCTTGCTTTCCTACCTGCCTGCTTGCTTGCTTGGCTGGTTGTTTGGTTGGTTGGTTGGTTGGTTTGTTGGTTGCTTGCTTGCTTGCTTGGTTGGTTGGTTGGTTGCTTAGTTGATTAATTGGTTGCTTGGTTGATTGGTTGTTTGGTTGGTTCGTTAGTTGGTTGGTTGGTTAGTTCGGTAGTTAGTTCGTTACTTAGTTACTTAGTTGCATTGCTGATGTTGTCGATGTTGTGGTTGGTGATGGTGCTGGTGCTGGTGCTGGTGGTGCTGGTGGTTCTGGTGGTTCTGGTGGTTCTGGTGTTGCTGGTGATGGTATTTTTGCTGTTGCTGCTGCTGTTGCTGCTAATGCTGCTCCTGCTGATGCTGCTGCCTTGCTATTGTGCTGGTCGTTTTTCAATCTGATGTTGCCTGTGTCGATGATGCTACTGGTAACCACTTAGATCGCCAGAGCTGTTTTGTCCTACATCTCTTCCAGGACCTACTACGGTCAATATGTTTTGCTTGGTGGTAAAGCTTCATTGCTGTCATTTCAGTTGGTGACCCTGACCGCCACTGATTGCTACCAGTACTATGAGCAGCGGCGGTTTTGTTGCTTGCGTTTACCTGCTGTACATCTGATTACACGAAAGTGCATAGGTTTCGATAGACTCATGTCCATTGTCATCTTCAGTACCTTAAGCAGCTCATGCTGGCACGCTTGTCGTCTTTCGTATGTTGAAGCGTTTTAAGCCCTGATTGAATTTACCTGCAGGCAGTGGGTTCAAAGTATGTGCGCTGCTAGTCGCGGTGAGTATTTGTGATCATCTTTCTCGCGTCGCAAATGTACTGTTGCTCGTTGTGCAATGACATACACGTCGTGTAAACACTTGCATCAGATCTGCTCGACCGAACGGCCAAGCAAAACCAAAGTGTGTTGACGCTTTAAGCAGGGCTAAGGACTACCTGTAGTCTCCATTGTAGTTCCTTTTTGGGGTTACTTTATAGGATCCTTATTATATATTTGGTTAAGCCAAAAAAAGGAACCACAATGGAGACTGTAGGTAGAGGTTCAAGCATTGAACTCGTCGTCCACAAGTCGGATTGTTCCTGCCGAAGCCACGAAGTTCCAAACTCGGCCAGACCCCGAAGCCTAACCCCGCAACTTTCCATCCCAAACCCCTAACCCCTAGTCGGCCGTAATTCCGGAATCATCCTAAACCCTTCAAGCCCTAACCCCTACGAGCCCTAACCCCTAATCGGGCGTAATCCCGAAATCATCCTAAGCCCGTTAAGCACGGCACCCCCGAAGTCTTAAACACTGAACCCAACAGGCGCGAAAGTTGGAGGCACCACCATCGGAGGCACCATTGGTGCGGCTTGGAAGCAACAGAGGTGCAGCCTTGCTTGTCAATTGCTGTTTGCCTTTGTCGGTCTTTCAGTAAGGAGGCCTAAACCCCACACCCTTTTTGAGATGCAGAGTGCGGGTCGCTTGTTCAGACTTGCGCTTCTCCTCGGACGGGCTTCCAGACGCCATTTCGCAGTGCATGAAGCGCTCAAGCAAGCGGATTTGGCTGAGCGGCCTGGCTTCGACAAGCTCCATGAACATGTGTTCGTGGCCCAGTCAAGGTGAGCCCGGCCACCTTGCCCTAGATGGCCAGCAATGTTGTATTGTCTCCAGCAAGGATGGTGCCAAAAAAGACGGATTGAAATGAAAGGTCCCCATTGACGGAGCTATTGCAATTCTCGGTGATCGGAAGGCGATGATGCCTGTGGGATGGTGGAAAGCTTTTGGGTTATTGACAGGGTTTAGGGATGTAGCTTTGGGTTCAAGGTTTAGAGTTTAGGGTCACCATTGAAACACGTGAACCGCTAAGTAGAACCCACTTGAGATCTTCGAGGTTCATTCCCCAATCCCAAGAGGTCTCCCCTTCAACCTCTTAGACAAGCTGGGCAAGTAAGTTGAGTCGATCGTCCAAAGCCATGAGAACCAACGCCTTCGGAGCCAAGACGGGTGTTCCGTTGGAGCTGCTCTCGGAAAGTTTGATACTCCATAATTGCATTATGAGTTGTATTGTTCTGATTTCAGAACCTAAAACCCAAGGCCCTTTTCGTCGAATTACGAGCAAGGACTACAGGGCCTCTGCTCAGGGTTTCTTGAGTGGTGCCTGGCATGGGATGCAGTTGCCCACATCGAATTGATGCGGACCAGGGGGAAAATCACCCCCACAGGGCCTCTGAATTGGGGCTCGAGTTTCCGAAGAAAGGTTGCTACGCAGACGTATTCAGAGTTCTGATTTTAGGTGGCACAGTCGTGACAGCCTGAACACTTAAACCCTAAACCAGCGAAGAAGGTGCCTTCCGGTTCCCCTTAGGATGCCCTAAACTCTAAAACCCTTAAACTCTATAGCCGAAAGGCTCTTAACCCTACAATAACCTATGTAAGCCTGAAACTTAAATCCTGCAAAGCCTGTACACCCTATAGGCCCTATCAGTCCTATACTCCTTATAAACCAAATTGGAACCCTATAAACGCCAGTACACCCCATAAACCCTTTGAACCCCCTTAGCCCGATAAACCCCATAAGCCCTATGAGCCCTTAACACCCCATAAACCCTATATAAAACGCGAAACCCTATACACCCCAAATCCTAAACCGAATCTCTAGCTGACCACATTCGAGGACGATCCGGGCGAGCAGCGAACACCTAGGCCCCCTTGGTCTTTGCGTTTACTCGGAGCATTTTGGGACTTGGTGACAAAAAGGGTCCCTGAAAGGGTTCTTTAAGGGATCTCTAGGGGTTATATAGAGGTTGAAAGGCTCAGGGGACTCTAGAACTTGAGTTATACATAAGGTAACTATAGTTATGGTTACTTGTAGCTCCAATTAGGGTACTTATAGCCTTACTTACTTACTGCGTACTTGTGGTACCATGAACCTCCAAGTAGCGTTTGTA